TGACACAGATGAGCGGAAGTAGCAGAGAGTGGTGGAGGCTTTCCTTGGAAACAGTGTTATGTTCCATACAACTTTTTAGTTGAGGAAAACTGTGTACGTTGGGTGCCTATTAGAAGTCAGCCCTGTGCTGCATTTGAAGCCTGCAGGAGGCACTGGGCCCAGAGTGGCGGGGTATTCTGGGCCTGGGGTTTGGCAGTCAAGCTGGCAGTGTGTAATGCACCCGGAAAACCGACCAAAACCACCCTGGGATAGGTAATAACACACCAAGGACAGCACACACTCAAAAAGACACTAAAAGATACTGTCAAGGTGCCCAGAGCAGTCCTACTGACAGTGTCAAAGGCTCACTTGACTGTGAAGCTTGACGACCTTGATTTCAATTATGCAAACTAAAAAAACAGATATAGCTTTTGTCATACTTGGAACATAAGCAAATAGACTTGTCCCAGGCACCTGAGGAGAGACCACGGACTGGGGGTACAGAGCCCTGTTCTCGGCGCTCACCTAACCTCCAGGCAGCGGTCCACTCCCTGATGAAAACCCTCAGCCCAGAGGGCTGCACCCACAGAGCTGCCGAGGGCCGTTTGGAGCTGGCACCTGCCTTTCCGCCTGAAGTTCCTCCCAGCCACACTCCCTCAGGGGACAGGTCTGGGAGAGCTGGGCAGCCTGTTCTCCCCAAGTTCATGCTGTGTACATACATGCCACTTTAAGAAATACAGCACTGAGCATAGGACTCAGGAACATAAAATTCTTCATCAACTGGCGTGGCAGTTACAGGTTGAGTTGGTAACTCAGACTCCGCCGAGTTTGACCTTTATCAGCAGAAAGTATAGAAATTGTTGGTCTCAGAATTTTTGCCTGTAACATGCATCATCGTTCATTTAAGAACTGTGTGGTATGACTCGTATTCTTTGGAAAGAGAAGATGTGAGGGTTCAGTGGCTCTCCAGTTTAATGTAACCAGGTGGAGTGAGCCGGTCCTGTGTGGGGCAGAGAAGAAGCAGCCTGCAGGAGCTGCTGGGCCAGGGCCCAGGACCACGTCCACTTCCACAGGAAAGCACAGATGAGACCTTAGTGGTTTGGAGTCGTAACAGAAGAACCTTCTTGTTCTTTTTGTTGTCCAGAAGCATTACAGCAGGAGGAGCGAGAGGAAGCTGGAAATGACATCCAAGATAAAAGAAGAGGTATATATACATATATATATATATAGGTCAGCATCTGCTGATGCTGGCAGAGGTCCTAGGGTGGGTGGAATCTGGTCGCCCTGTCACTGCAGAATAGCCCCTGGACTTTATGACAGGTGCGTGCCTGATAGCAGAGCTCTCCTGAGGTAAAGGCCCAACCCATCAGCCACCCAGCTCTCACTCACCAGCCCCAGGCCTGACTTTCCTGTGGCCACAAGCACCCCCAGCCATCACCGCCTCCCTCTGGGGGGCCCTGGCTCCCCGTGCCACCCTCTCTCCAGCCTCCACGCGGTCCCATCGCCATCTTGGGGAGGACATAGCAGGGCCATCGGCATCAGCTTAGCTCAAACCTACTTTAGCATAGCTCGGGGTGACCCTTGAGTGCTCTTGCAGGGGTCCCCAGCCTCCAGCATCTAATGCCTGATGATCTGAGCTGCAACTGATGCAATAATAATAGAAATAAAGTGCACAGTGAATGTAATGCACTTCACTACCTCCCCAAATACCAGGGTTTTTTGTAATAAGGTCCAGGTAACTTCATGCCAGATAATCCTTAAACCTGCTTATCCCCTGCTACCAGCCCCCAGCCCTCTTTCTCTCATTTGACGGAGAGAGATTAATCTTTTTCTTCCAACTCACAGAGGAGAAGGGAACTAGCCCTCCTGACTATCGGCACTACCTTCGAATGTGGGCCAAGGAGAAAGAGGTTCAAAAGGAGACGATCAAGGATCTTCCCAAGATGAACCAGGTAGGCCCGATCAGAACACCCAAGAGGTGTTTCTGGAAAATTCTGACCAAGTCTGGGTCCTCCCACCCCCTCTGGAATGGAGGAATTCTCCTGCCTCCCTTTAGACCCACCAGCCAGCAGCAGTCAGGGACTGCCTAGGAGGACAGGGGCTGGTTGTTGCAGGGCCTTGTCCAGAACACTCCCTTGGTGCAGACTTGCTTTGATTGGCATCCGTGAACCAGAGAAGCGCTGGGCAAGATCAGCCTCAACAGGCAGAAACTCAGACTGCTGTTCATGAGCTGGTGTCACGGCACTTGTCCCTCTGGCCTGGCTCCAAGCCGCGCACGCACAAGCCCACTTGCCCCACCGCCCGATAGTCACGTGCGGGTCTCCAGGTCAGGACTGCAGCCTTCAGGGTCTTAACAGGCAGGGCCACAGACATCTAACCAAAGGCCGCTGCCAAACTGCAGCCTGATCACGGCCTGCTCTGCCCAGAGGGGCCCCTTGCCATCTGGGTGCTCCTTCATCCACAGGCCTGAAGAATGGGATGCCCTGTGGGAGGTTTCATCCCAGTCTCAGGCCAAAAGGCCTAAATGTAGTTTCAGGATCTGAACTTGACCTCATCATCCCTCTCAACTAACCCAGGCTGCCTTACCTTGTCATCACTCTCTAAAGAGCTTTGTTAAGGAGAGTTGAAGTGGCTTCTAATTAAAGATCTAAAATGCTCAAACTGATTTTAAAACACAGGGAAGTCCTTGTAGTCAGTAGCTTTGGAAACTTATGATAGACATAGGTCTGTCTCTGCTAACAGAACAGAGACTCCAAATGTCTCTATATGTGCTGAAAGAAAGACAGCTGGAAAAGAAAGGTCTTTCCTCTGCACCTGTGTCCTAATCTGTGAAATGTATGTGTCAAGGCACAGGTATATAAAGATAACAAGACAACACCCTCACACCAGTCAGAATGGTTAGCATTGTGAGTCTGACTGATCAGAGGTAGTCTGACCCATCTTTTATCATCTCCCTGTCCCTTTTGTTTTTCCCCTCAAAAGGAGCAATTCATTGAGCTGTGCAAGACACTTTACAACATGTTCAGCGAAGACCCCATGGAGCAGGACTTGTACCACGCTATTGCCACGGTGGCCAGCCTGTTACTCCGCATCGGGGAGGTGGGGAAGAGGTTTTCTGCATGGCCAGGCAGAAAGTCCAGAGACAGTGCCCCTGATGAGGATGAGCCATCAGCCCCAGACCCCCCTCAAGACCCTGCCTGGGAACTTCAGCCACCAGCTGCAGGGGACCCCCAAGCCAAAGCAGGTGGAGACACCCACCTTGGGAAAACACCACAGGAGAGCCAGGTGGGGGGCGAAGGGGGCGGCGGTGAAGGGCGGGGCTCTCCCTCCCAGCCTCTGTCTGATGATGAAGCCAAAGACGACATGTCCATGTCCTCCTACTCCGTGGTCAGCACCGGCTCCCTGCAGTGTGAGGATCTGGCTGATGACACAGTGCTGGTGGGTGGGGAGGCTCGCAGCCCCGTGGCCACCACCCACGGTGGGGGTGCGGTTGACACAGACTGGTGCATCTCATTCGAGCAGATCCTGGCCTCCATCCTGACAGAGTCTGTGCTGGTGAACTTCTTTGAGAAGAGGGTAGACATTGGACTCAAGATTAAGGACCACAGGAAGGTAGAGAGACAGTTCAGCACCTCCAGTGACCATGAGCCGTCTGTGGTTTCGGGTTGAGGGCGCCAAGGCCGCTCTTCCCTCCTTCCCTTTGTTTTCTCCTTAAGGACGCATCCCTCCAGTTTTCCCCAGAAGAACTGAGTTGTAAATGGAAAGGAGGCTGAACAGTCACAGTTGGGGCCAAGGCAGGGGGTGCCCAGCCCCTCATTCTGCCTTGGGCCTCCTGGCCCCTGCACGGTGTCGGAGGCTCTGTGATCTGCCCTTGCTTGCCCTGCACTGTGGCCAGGCCACACCCTGTCCTCCTTCTCCTCCTTCCCTGCAGCTGTGTGCTCTGGGGGCTTTCCTGCCACTGGGCACCAGGTAGGGAAGTGGTGTGCCTATTGGGCACCAACGTGGTGAGAGCTTCGAGATGCCTTCCAGGAGCCCCAAGCCTGCGTCTGGTTGAGGACACAGGCAGAAAGCATCTACTGCATCAGGGTGGGTTACCTCCTGCAGATGTTCCTCTCAATTCTCTTTCAGCTCATCATCCTCACCATTAACCTTAAAAACATATCCCTCGGGTCCTGATATGTTTCCTTGTATTCATTTCAGTTGGCTAAGAAGAATCACACTATGCTCAATGCCTTAATAAATCCCTGAAAGAATGAAAAACCACACTGTGTAGAGAATTAATGTGACCCTCAACCACTGCTTCGACCTCCTGGCTTCTCCCCAGGCAGGTACTGGGCCAGAAGTTCCCAACACTTAGTCTCTCACAGGAAGTGAGGTTTCAAGACCCCGGGCAGGAGGGGGATGCGGAAGCTGCTGACGCAGACTGGGCAGGGCCTGTGCAGAGCCGCACCCACAGAGAAAACCTGCTCTGCAGGGGTCAACAGCCGGGGTCTAGGGGTAGGAGACCAGTGCTCAGCCTGGCTGCAGTAAGCCTCTGGGCTCAGGAAGCAGTGTAGGGACATGCGCAACAGGCTAAGCCATGAAGACGCCCTAGCTTTGCAGCAGGAGCTGATTATCACGTCCAGCATTTGCCCCCAACACAGAGTCACCCCTCATTTTTACTGAAAGGTAACATCTCTGTGGCTCTTGTTTGGTTTTTTAATTGAATAGCCTTATTGAGGCAAAACTTACATACCATAAAATTCAGTTGTTTTAAGCTACAATTCAGTGATTTTTAGTAAACTGAGAGCTGTGCAGCCATCACCACAATTCAACTTTAGGATATTTCCATCACCCCAGAAAGACCCCTCCTGGCCATGTGCTGCCAACCCCCTGTGCCCCCACCTCCCTCCACAGCTCCAGGTTCTAATCTGTTTTATAGCTCTTCAGATTTTATGGATGTTTTTTAAAATAAAAACCTCCATGATTTTACCTTGTGCACAACTGTTGAGTCACTTTTCAATAAATACAGCAAAACAACATCAAGGAAACATGACAACTTTTCTTTCTTAAGTCAGTAATGTAATTTCCTTTCTAGTATTTATACAAGCTGACTACATGCATTGTCATAAATTAATTTCAAAGGATTACTGCCAGAAAGACTATAATGAAATTATAGCTCTTGGCCATAAGGAAACTAACGATATACATAAGAATTCCATGAAATTGGCAGTTTAAAATCAAATTGAGTATAATCAATTAGATTTAAATAATTTGGAATGTAAATAAATGTTTTATATGCCATGAAGTATAAATCTGGGAGTGTACGAAAGAAAGTAAGCAATATAAAAGAGGACATTAGCCTTTTTATGTGATAAGTGTATAAAAATATACAATATACTTTCATCTGTTAATCATTTAACCTGGCATGATAGTCAAAATGTTTAATAACAAGAACATTTCCTGCATTAGTGGTGGATTCTTCACCAACTGAGCTATCAGGGAGGTCCAATAACAAGAACAGTAACACTAAACAATATGTGGATAATAAAAATAAAGTTTTATATATATTTGGATTCTGTAAATATAAACACTGTATATTTTAAAACTCCTTACCAAGTGATCTGTTGTACCAAACTATTCATCAAGTCATTCTTATAATTTCCAAGAAAAAATATGCATATGAATTTTAAACAATTACATGTTTCATGCAGGAAAAGGGGAAAATACAGAACAGTAGAAAAACAATTTTTCTTAGTATTTAAGACTACTATTCATTACTTTGGTGTTTTTCCCCCTGTATTTATCATTTTCAAAGTTGGAACTCACATCATTTATGAAATTTTTATTCTGCCATTTTCATTAACTACAAAACTGCCAGAAACTCTCATCCACAATGATGAGACTTGAAGATAAACAAAAACCACTCAAATGAGAACAGGAACCATTTATCAAGAGCTTGCTATAGAAGAGGAGTCAGCCACCATTTACCTGTGTTTGGCATTGACTAAAAGGTAGTCAGAAGAGTGGGAAGGCCTTATGGTGAAAGCAAGGGAGGGCTTCAGGTATGCTCTGATCAGAGGCTGCTGGTGGGGAAGCAGGATGTCTTGTGTGTTTGGTTTGGGAGCATAATCGGCTTCCTCTTGGCTGGTGAGGAAGTCTAAAAAGGTGGGCAACTGGTAGTCATCGACCAAGTCCTGACTGCTGTAGAAGTTGTGGTTGGCTGCGGGGTGGAAGGGGGTCTGGTTGATGCACAGGTGGTCATAGGTGGCTCTGGTCACTGTATAGTCAGTCTCAAACATAATTTTTTAAGTTAATTGTTTTTTTCTAATATTGTGCAAAATTTGGAAAATATTAAAAATTTTAAATCACTTACGAAAAGTCATTTATAACCCTTGCCCATACACATTATATGCAAACAAACAATGCTTGGTTTTACCTAACTGCTATTGTGTATACTTAGTAACTTCCTTGCTTCCCAACAATACACATGCTATCATTTTCACTTCAAACTCTGTAATGGACCTGCATAATGGTCCATTCTTTAGAATACTTATTTCCACTTTTTTCCTGTTATACTTTGGTTAACATTCGTGCATAAATAATACATCTGGGTGATTCTGATTATTCTTAGGATAGAGATAAACGCCAGACTGTTTTCCCCTTTAACCAGCATCCTATAAGAAAGATTCCTCTCTAACCACATTCTTGTCAGAATTGGGCGTTTTAAATTTTAACAAGATGATTTATATTGTCAGGCACGTGGGAATGTCTTGGGGGGATGCCATTAGGGTCCCGGTGAGGCTGGGACATGAGGGATGCAATCTTTCCTCTCTGCTCTGAAAGGGACTTCAGAGCGGAGCTTTCCTGGGACTGCAGGAAGGACTGACTTCGTTTTCAACCGCCGGGCGTTTCCGTTTCCCTCTCGGAGAAGCGTAGGGCTGGTGAACTGCCTATTTCCGCAGGATTCTCGGTGCCGCGGCTCAAAGGTTAACTCACCACCTCTGATCAGAGGTCCTGCAAATTCCAACCGTGGGCCCAGGGAGTCGGCCGGAGCAGGGAGGAGAGCTCCGGCCTGCTCTTCCCCTACTTGAAGAAGCAGAAGAAATGGGACCAGCAAAGGCCGGACCCCTAGAGCCGGCTGGAGACCCCGCCCCACCAACTTGAACCTTCCCCGGGAGTCCGGCGGAAACCGGCCTGGGCTCAGACAGAGAACCCCAAACAATGCCTAACTCGCAGCATAGATACCCGACTCCTGAGGGCGCCCAGGATCCCAGCTGACTGCTGACAAACGCTGGACACTCCACCTGCCCAGGCGCGCAGGCGGGCCGGAGCGCCAGCGGCCGCAGCCCAAGGCGCACGCGCGTAGGAGGCGGGGCCGAGGCTGGAGCGGACGCAGCGCGTGAAGGGGCGGGGCCGGGGCGGACCCGGAAGCCGGCGAAAACGCGGAGGCGAGGGGGCGCAATGGCGCCTCCTCAGCAGGCGCGGGTCCTTCAATGCTGCTGCTGCAGGCTTTTCCAGGCTCACCAGGTGGGGCCTCCCCTCCCCCGAGCGCGGGGATGGCGGGCGGGACGAGGTGGAGCCTTGAGAGGCTCGACCTCTTCCCCACGCGCTGCCCGCAGACTCTGCGGATTGTGCTTGAGGCCTGGACAAGTGATGGTATCAGTTGTGAGAACTAGGTTTTATTGAGGTCACTTCTCCATACCCGTTGTTGTGGTCTTTGGGGGCATTTTGCTTTTTGGTTGTAAGATTTGTAGAAACCAAGACTTACCTGGTGGTACAATGGGTCAGAACCCGCCTGCCAGTGCAGGGGACAGGTGTTTGATTCCTGGTTGGGGAAGATTCTACATGCCTCCAGGCACTTAAGCCCATGTGCAGAAACTTCTGGGCCCCATGAGCTACAGCTGTGAGCCCAGGAGCCCTAGAGCCGATGCTGTGCAACAAGAGAAGCTACCGCTATGAAAATCTGCGGCCCCACAGCTAGAGAGTAGCTCCCCCTAGCTGAAACCAGACGAAGACCCGGTGCACGCGTGCTCAGTGGCTTCCGACTCTGCGGCCCCGTGGGCTGTAGCCGGCCAAGCGCCTCTGCTAGGCCTGTCCAATCGCAAAGATCCTTTTATACCATGTTCTCTCGCTCTCTCTAGCCCCTGAGAGCTAGTCAGTTACTGCTTGTTCTTCCAGAGCTTTTATTATTTTTTAATTCATTTCTTACTTGCATATGTAGCTATAGAAAGTACACAATATTTTTATGGTGTTTGAAAGTAGATGCTGAGAAGTAGAATCTTAGGATATACCCACTTAAATTTGTAATAGATGTTGTTTGTCCTCCCTAGAATCATTTCAGGTTTTAGGTACTTCTCCAAAAGACCCGATGGTTTTTGTTTAATTGTATTTATTTTTATGAATCAACCTAGACATCTTCATGATGTTAAGCATGCTATCTCATTCCACCTCTTTTTTAAAGAGTTTTTATTATTATTATTTATTAATTTGTTTTTGGCTGCACTGGGTCTTCATTGCCTTGGCTTCTCGGTGCAGAGTAGGGGCTGTAGCTGGGCAGGCTTCAGTAGTTGCAGAGCACAGGTCTAGTTGTGCAGAGGCCTAGTTGCACTGAGGCTTGTAGAATCTTCCCAGACCAGGGGTCAAACCGGTCTCCCGTGCATTGGTGGGCAGATTGTAAACTGCTGGACCGCCAGGGAAGTCCTCATCCCACCTGTTAAAGCAGCTTTGGTGCCTCTTGGTAACATTTTCTTTGTTGCCATTATAAATGGACTTTTCTTTTGTTATTCTTCGAACTAATGTTTGCTTATAAACTATATTAATTTTTGAAGACATATTAATTTTCTACCTAGAGCCTATGATATATATGTTACTGGTTTTAGTAGTTTTTCATTTGATTATCTTGGGTTTTTAAGAAATAAATCATAATATTCGTAAATAAGGTTAGTTTTTTTCCCTCCATTTTCATACCTCTTAATTGCTTTCTCTTTTCCAATTCTATTGGCTAGCACATCCAAAAAGACAGTAGATAATAGTGCAGATCCTTGACTTGTTCTTGACTTTCATGGGAATGCTCATGGTGATTCTGCATTGGTGAGCTGGAAGTCAGCCATTTTATTATGTTAAGAGAAACCCCATCTAGTCAGATTTATCAAGACTTGAAATGTTATGGAATTTTTTGAGAATCACAGATAGTAGAGATCTAATTTGATTTTGTTTATTAATATATGGATATGCAGTTTCCCAGAACTACTTATTAAATAGGCTCTTCTTTCTTCACCTTTATAATATACTAAATGTTCATACCTGTGTTGGTTTGTTTCTAGACTCTATTCTTTTCCATTGATCTCTTTAAATTTCTATTTCTGATCCAGTTCCAACTGTTTCAAATAATTATCGTAGCTATATTTCTGAAATTTCATTATAGGTGAAAAAGAGTCTCAAATGGACATGCAAAGCTTGTGGAAAGAAGCAGTCGTTTTTGCAGGTGAGTCCCAAGAAGCAGGGTGTCTGATACCCATACTGGAAAGCAGGTAGGACCCAGCCATGCAGAAGTGTGTTTCTCATAGAACCCATTATTGACTCAAGTTCATTAGATACAGAGCTCCTGCTCCCTAAGATCATCTTCTTTCAGGAAGTAAAGTGGATGGAGCGGGGCCTGGAAGGTGACCTTCCTTTGTTTATTCAGTCATTTGGTATTTACTGAGTACCTTCTATGTGTAGGCATGGGAAACAGTGAAAGGTAAGAAGGTGTCCTTATTGCCTGTACAGATCTGCCCTTGTGAAAGGGGAAGAGAAACTAAAACACACACATATAATTTAAAATTAAACTGAGCACAATGAGAGGAGAGTGCAGGGTCTGTAAGAGTAATCAGCCCTAACTGGGGATGGACAGACAGCTGTTAGAGATCCGAGGGTATGAGAAGGGGCGGGCAGGGTGTGAAGGTAGTCAGGCAGTGGAAGAGCCCACGGACTGAAGGGAGCATGTTGTAAATGCTCTTGTTAGCCCGATTGTTTCACCCACACAGTTTTTTCCCAAGTCCATACTTACTGACCCACCTGATTTCTAATACCACAGTCTTCTCACTGAGGCTTTTGTTCATGTGCTCCAACCCTTGATTCTGACTGTGCAGCTTCATCGCGTCATTCTCCTCCTTCAGCTGCACGGGCTTTTCCTTCTGACCTTGAAACAGTCCAGACCTGCTTCCCTCTGTGTGCTTGTTGTTGAGGCATCCCCTAGTTAATCTCACTTCCCTGTCAGAAATATATTCAAGTGTGTTTATGTGAGTATTGTCCATCTCAGACTGTAATAAATCCTTGTTTATTTTATATGTAGTGGTATATATCTGTTAATCCCATATTCCTAATTTATTCCTCTCCCCCTCTTTCCCTCTTGGTAACCATAAGTTTGTTTTCTATGTCTGTGAGTCTGTTTCTGTTTTGTAAGTAAGTTCATTTGTATTATTTTTAGATTCCGCATATAAGTCATATAATATTTGTCTTTGGCTTGCTTCACTCAATATGATACATTCTGGGTCTATCCATGTTGTTGCAAATGGCAATATTTCATTCTTTTTTATGACTGAGCAATATTCCATTACACACACACACACACACACACACACACACAGACATACACACACACTTCACATCTTCTGTATCCATTCATCTGTTGATGGACACATATATACCCTTTTTTCTACATTTTACTATATACTTTTGGTACCTAGCACAGTGCCTGTGAGATAGTGCTTGTTCAAGGAATGTCTGTTGAATGAATAAATGACCAGCCCCACATTGATGGGCACTTAGGTTGATTTTAGTTTTCATTGTTATGAATAACTCTGTAGTAAAAGAAAGAAAGTAAATGTAGTTACGCTCCTCTGTCTGTGGGATTCTCCAAGCAAGAATACTGGAGTGGATTGCCATTCCCTTCTCCAGGGGATCTTCCCGATCCAGGGATTGAAGCCGGGTCTCCTACATTGCAGGCAGATTTTTTACAGTCTAAGCCACCAGGGAACTCTGTAGTGAAGCTTCTTAACAAATACCTCTTTCTTTACTGGACCAATTATTTCCTTAGGACAAATTCCTACAAGTTAAATCAGAGGAATTCTTTCAACCAAGGTTCTCTTCGTTGCAGATTATAGGAAAAAACACTTCAGCAAAATTTAAAATGCACTGGTAAGGTAATGGGATATCTTGTGGGAATCCAGGGGAAGAGCTTTGCCCTTAGCCCTTTGAAGAACCAGCCCCAAGACCTGACAAGCTGCCAGCAACACAAGCATCTTCTTTTCCCTCCGTCCTCCTCCCTTCACTGAGTTCTCGCTGTGCCTTCCTCCTTCTCTCCCTACCCCTTTCCTTTCTCTTTCTCTCCAGTTCACAGTAACATACTCCGCTCACAGACCACAGAATCTCATTTCAAACCAACTGAAAGAGCTGAGTCCCAGTTATAAACTCCTGGGAGAAATAATCTGATTGCTGTGGTTGACTCAGATGTCCACCTCTGGTCTTGTCAGTTGGGATGGGTAGGAGTGGGGACAGTTAGGTCATCTGTCGGTAAGTATGGCAGCTGAGGCCTGCCCTGAGATTGGGCCTCAGAAGTCAGGAGGCTGGCTGATGACCGTACCTGTTTTAGATGTCAGCCTGTATTTCTGAATTCTTGAGGAAGGTTTGCCTTCTCTCAGCACCTCACATGCTTATGCAGTGGTGTATGGCTTAGGACTGACTAGGCCACATTAACAAACACACAGCACGATTGTAGCTTAACATGCTAGAAGTTGCTTCTCTCGCTATTTTTAATAGTCCTGGGAGAGTTGGAGATAGGCAGGGCAGCTGTACTTGGTGTGATCATTCGGGGACCCTGGCACCTGTCATCTTGAGGTTCTGCTATTCCCTGAGGCTTGTCTCCTGTTGCCTCCAGCCCCTGACGGTGCAAGACCAGGAAGAAGCTACCCAGGAAGAATCTGGACGTGGTTCACATCCCAGTGGGAAGAGCCTAGTCTCATGGCCACACCTGACTGCCAGAAAGACTGGACAGTGTAGCCGAGTCTGCTCTCAGATGAGGAGAGAATGCGTTTCAGTGTTCAGAGAGCAGCTTCTGTCGTGCAAGAGAGCACACACCCTCCCGGTTATGCCATACATAAGTTGTCAGTCTTTGGGGAATTTATTTAATTTTTCAATTTATTTCATTATAGTTGAATTACAATATTGTATTCACTTCTGCTGTGCAGCAAAATGATGCAGTTACACACACACACACACACACACACTTTTCCTATTTTCCCTTACGGTTTATCACAGGACATTGAATGCCGCTCCCTGTGCTCTGTAGTCGAGCACTGCTGTCGGTCCATTCTATGTATACTAGTGTTCACCTGCTCACCCCAGACTCCCAGTCCATCTCTTCCCCACCCTGCTCCCTCTTGGCAATCATAAGTCAGTTATCAGTCTTTTTAAATTTTGCCTTTACTCTCTCTAGTTCGTCTCCTCCCGTTCTCACTTGAACTTGCCCCAAAGTGGATTTCACTCCCCACCAGTCTACTAAAATTGCTCATGTCAGAGCCAGCAGTGGTCTCTGTGTTGCTGAAAAGAATGGTTGGTTCTCAGTCCTCAAGTGACGTGACTTACTGGTGGCATTTGTCAGTTTGTCACTCCCTCCTCCTTGAAGTCTTCGCTTGGACTTCCAGCCACCCTGCCCCTGGTTTTCCTCCTGTCTTCCTGGCTTGCATTCCAATCCTCTTTGCTAGTTTTTTCCCATCTCCTCATCTTCTACAGTTTAGAGTGCTCTGGAACTCGGTTTTTGGTTTTGTTTTTCACCTCTTCTCTAGCTACAGTCATTCCCTTAGTGGTCTGAGATGAGACAGTCTTACAGTTCTCAAGTGTCTGTGTCAGACCCCAGGCCTACCAGCGAACTTGTGTATGCTTCTAGCCACCTACCTCTCTGCTGGATATCTAACAAGCATCCCAAACCTGTATTCCAAAATGGAAGCCCTCCCCTTTCACCTGCCTACTTTTCCACAGGCATCCCCATCTCTTAACTGCCAAGTCTCTAGTTGTTTGGGCTAAAAACCTCAAATTCATCCCTGACTCTTCTTTTTCTTTTATACCCTTCATATGATCCATCGGCAGATTTAGTCACAGCGTACCCACATGTTTGCCCACTTGTTATCACAGTGGACTGAGTTGCCACAGTATCTGCAGCCCCCTCCTGACTGGTCGCCTGTGTCAGGCATACAGTCTCAGCAGCACACCCGAAGGGTCCGACATGTGCAGGATCATGTCAGCCTTCCAGGTTGGAGCAACATATATGTGCCTTCAGACCAGGCCCGGACAGGGCAGGAGACAATGTGAAATGGGAAGGTGGGGCCCCTTTTCAAAGCAGGAAAAAACCGCTATTAAAGGTTCTAAAATATTAAGCTCTTCTTTCATGATCTCCTGACTTTTCCTAATGTTTTTATTTACTAATGGTTTAAATATTAATTTCTATTTATTAATTTATTTGACTGCTCCAGATCTTAGTTGCAGCATGCAGGATGCAGTTGAAGCATGTGGGATCCAGTTCCCCCACCAGGGATAGAACTCAGGCCCCTGCATTGGAAGCTTGGAGCCTTAGCCACTGGACCACTAGGAAAGTCCCTATTTACTGTTTTTTTAATTTACTATTTTAACCAACATTTTAACATGTTAAAAGCTAACATTTAAATAGTGCAACACCATTTAGACTGTGCAACACTGGTTTTAAATGCTAAGAACATGTAGTATGTATGTGGAACATATACAGAATAATATAAGAGCATTAGTACACATGTAGAATGATCAAAATTGCACACTTTTTGTTTTGTAGCTCATATATGCCTACATATTTTATTCTTAAGAGTGGAGATGTTGCACAAAATTAACTCAACTATTTTTACTTCACTGCTTGACACCCACACAGCCTACCTACACTCTCAGCCTTCCGCTCGCTGATGAGTAAGGGAGTACCGAGACGAAAAGGAGCTGTGGGTTGTGCTTCTGTCCCTGTTTTCTGTGGTGTTTTCAGCACAGGCTGTTCCAGGGAGGTAATAGGAATAAGAAGACATAGGATAGATTTACTTGTTTGGTGATGCTTTTGGTAGAATACCCTTGCCTTCTTTCTGCAACTGAAGCAGGTTCTGGTTCTCCTGGAAGCCCTGGCCCCTCAGGCTATGGGCGCCCCTCACATACTTAGGCACAGACAGCGCACGCTGCCTGAACCTGGAGTCTCACTGGACTTTCACACCCTGTGAGTTCACTGGAACTTTGTGCTTCTGGGGCATCGGGCATGCTCTGTGCAAACAGAGTGGCAAGGAACAGTGGACACATTTGCTAGTCACGACTTAAAAACATGTTTCATTATCTCATCAGACTTCACTTACACAACACAGGTTCAAAGATGAGATTATTAAGAATTTCAGTAAAGAGAGCAGAGCAGATCTCATGCCCATAAGGCTGACTTTTCCTGTAACAGGGCCTGCACTCTCAAACTTCATCTCCTACCCTCTCTGCCCTAGATCATTCAACTCCAGCCACTTGGCCTCTTTGCTTTTTCTCCAAAATGCCAGGCTAAAAGTGTTTGCACTCCTTTCCGTTTCATTGCTTCTGCTGTCTACATGGTTTGTTCCCGTTTGTCTTCCTGTTTTGTGCTTGGTTGTTACCCTCCCAGTGACCCACCCCTTGACCTCTGAACACCTCGTGTAAAATTACCTACTGTGTCTCCTCGCTGCCCCACCCGCACTGCATTGCCTGGCTTTCCTGTGTAGCACTGCTCACCATCTGACGGCCGTATAGGTGTCATGTGCTTATTATCCGTCTCTTATTACACTACAGAGCTCCGTGATGGCAGTGATGTTTATGCACTCTTGTATTGTCCTTCCCTAGTTCAGGTCCTGGCACATAATAGGTGCTTAATAAATATTTATTGAACAAATGAGTGAGTACTAAGTGAAAAATAAGTATCACATCTGTTTTATAGTGTTCTGATTATGAGTGAGGGTTAAGTATCATTTCATGTTTATTGGCAATTTGATTACTTCTCTTCTGAATTCCTTACGTTTATTAACCAGTTTGTTTGGGGTTTGGGTTGCGTTTGACTTTGATATGTAAAATTAAGGGTGATAGTGGGCAGCCAGATTGACTGAAACGAGCCCCTGAGAGTGTGAATTTGTAAATCACTGCAGAAATGGCAGTCGTTGTTTGAGTTCCTGCGTGGTGCTTTAGGCCTTGCACAGTACATTTTTAGCCTCCCTGAGTTGTGTCTCTAGTGGCTCTGTTTCTCAGCATTCTGTCAATACTTTTTAAACTTCATATCTGTGTTTGTTTCTCAGGCTTACGGTGAGGGCTCTGGTGCTGACTGTAGACGCCACGTCCAAAAATTAAACCTGCTGCAGGGACAGATTTCAGAGCTGTCACTCAGGTATGATAGTTTGAGAGAGGCCTAGTTATCTTGCCCTATTTTCATCTTGAGTGGATGGTGGGAGTATATGATGGAGAAATCCCTTAGATTTCCATGTCTAACAACGTGGCGATTAGATACTGAATAATCTGAGGTTAATTTTAAGATGCCGGCCACGATATTTTAAAGGCACTGACGAGATGACAGGAAGGTAAGTAGCCATCAGGGATCAAAAACGAAGCGAGAGCCAAAACCCAGAGAATAAGCCGGGCTGCTGGGTGTTGGAAACCCATTGCCCTGCAGCTTCCATGTAGCTGGGAAGGAGGCAAGAGACAAAGACGAAGTCTGTTCAATGTGGGAAGGTCAGTCGGAGACCACAACATAAAGCTGAATCCCCAAAGGACTACACGCTTGGTGTACAAATGAACTAGAAAGGCACCCCTCCGAGGTAGGTTGACCCATCCTGTCTTGCCCTTGGCACTGGCTGAAGAGGGGAAATACTGCTCCAGGATTTCGTAAGCACAAGGAAGCTCTCACATGACTTTTCAACCTTTTACACATGCTGTGTGAAAAGTCTCAAGCTGAGGACTTATTTTATTTTATTGACTGTGCAGGGTCTCCACTGCTGCATAGGCTTTTCTCTAGCTGCAGCGAGCCAGGGGCTCTCTATAATGGTAGTGTGTGGGCTTGTCGTTGTGGCTGATGGTCCTGTTGCAGGGCGTGGGATCCAGGGTGCCTCGGCCTTAGTTTCAAGCTCCGGAACACAGACTCAGTGTGGCAGACAGGCTTAGTTGCTCCGTGACACGGGGGATCTTCCCAGACCAGGGCTCAAACCCATGTCTCCTGCATTGGCAGGCAGATTCTTTATCACTGAGCCACCAGGGAAGCCCTTCAAACTTATTTTTAAATTGTCCCAGGAAGCAGAGATAAATGTTGCTCCTTTTTGGAGCAATACATCTTCAACCCAGACATCAAAGGATATATAAAATTCCAAGTGACATATACCCAGAGTTAAAGATCATTTAACTTACTTAAGGAAGCATGTCACCATGAGCAAAAGACAGCAGAAATGACAGAGAAGTCAGATCCAAAAAGAGTTCAGAATACATAATATTGTATGTTTAATATATTTAATGATATTAAGTGAGGATGGTTGATACAGGAAGAGCAAGAGACTTAAAAAAAAAAAACCAAAACGTTTGTAGAGATGAGAAGTTTAGTCACTGAAATTAAAAGTGTAGTGGCTTCCCTGCTGGTGCAGTGGTTAAGACTTGGCCTTGCAGTGCCTGGGACACGAGTGTAAGCCCTGGCACCGGAAGGCCCCACGTGTCGTGGAGCAGGCAGGCGTGCGCCGCAGCCGCTGAGCCTGTGCTCTGGAGCCCGCAGGTGGCAGCACAGGGCGCCTGCGCGCCCGGGGCCTGTGCTCCCAACGGGAGAGGCCGCCGCCGCGCGAAGCCCGGCCGCCGCGATGCGAGAGCCCCGCTCACCACAAGCGGAGCAGCAAAGACCCAGCACAGCCGAAATAGGAGTAGATAAACCTTTCTCAAAAAATGTTTCGTGGACTGTTAAGCAGATTAAGTGGAACTAAAGACAGAATTGGTGAAATGGAAGATAAATCTGAAGAAATTATTCACATTCTCAATGTGAATAAGACAAAAAGGTGGAAAATATAAAAGTTCAGAGACATGAAAGATACAGAGATGAGTTCCAGCAGAAGATAATAAAAAGAATGGGAAAAGGCAATACTTGCAGAGAAATGAACAGAACTTTTTCCAGAATCAAAGGGCTTACAATCTTAGATTTAGGAAATGTGTCTAATCCCAAACTGGATAAAAACACTGTGTCTGTAGCAGATCCTAATGAACCTATCCAAAAGCTAGTAGAACTAATAATTTAGCAAAATCACAAGGATACATGGTCAACATACAAAACAAAATATAAATTTTATTTTCATATAAATGCAGTGAATAGTTGGAAAACAGTTTTAAAAATCAAATACCATTTATGATGCCATGAAAAAATAGGATACTTAGGGATGAATATAACCAAAAAATGTGCAAAATATTTTCAGTAAAAATTACACAACTTTGCTGAGAGAAATTTAAAAAAGATCTAAGCAATGAAATATGTTCATAGATTAAAACACTTAGTATTGTCATGATGTCAGTTCATCCTAAATTGATCTGTAGTGTCATCTTAACCCCAGTCAAAATTCCAGCAGTTTTTTTTTAATGAAATTGACAAACTGATGCTAAAATTTATATAGAAATGCAATTGCCAAATCGATTTTGATAACAAAACTGGACGACTTCTATAGCCTGATTTCAAGATTTACTGTAACACTACAGCAATCAAGACTGTGATTTTGAATATACATTTTGTGGTATTTTCATACAGTAGAATACTACTCAGCAACAAAAATGACATGGGCAAACCTCAGAAACATTGCTAAGTGAAAGATGTCAGACAAAAAGACCAGATACTGTAAGGATGAGTAGTTTTTACCTACAGAGGCAGATAAGGGAATTTTAAGGTGATGAAAATTTTCTAAATCTTGCTAATTATATATTTTCTATATCTTGATTGGAGTAATAGTTTCAAAAATATAATACCAAGCTCATCTAATGTACCAACACTTAATTTGGTACATTTTAGGGTAGGTTAATTATAAATTATACATCAGTAAGTTAATTTTAAAAGATAAAATCCACCCTTTGACACCACAGCATAATGAAATTACAGAACATGGAAAACAAAGGGAAGAACTAAAATGTAGCTGGAGAAAAGAGAGATCACCTACTGAGAAATAGTAGATGCCCAGTTCTCAGGGTAACATTAGAAGTGAGAAGACAGACCATACCTTCATATTGCAGAGAAAGGTTCGTTGTTGGTGGAGTTGAGTTCCCAATTCATAGTATGATGGGCAGAGTTCTGGTCAGTAGCAGGCAGGGCACTGCTCAGCTGGACACTGGGGTATCCAGTGTGGGCATTTCACATGCGTGATCTCATTTCATCTTCTTCGTCATCTCATGAGGATCATTGGCTTTGGTTTACAAATGAAGAAACTGACATGGAGGTGCCCACATTTGGTGGACTTGGGTTTCCATTGTAGGTCAGTAGAGAGAGTTCCAGTGTGATCGTGTGATGTAGCAACCTGTCAGACATGAGTGGTTGTGGCTTCGGTGCTAGCCTTCAGCCCTTGAACAATGCGTGTTTTAATTGGCCATCCGGCTCCACTCGAGGCTGCAGAAGCTCCGGCGCCTCACTGTGCTCTCTGTGTGATGAAAAACCCCTGCTATCCATGGGAGGCTGGGTGAAGACACATCTAACTGAGGAAAATGCCTTATCTCGTAGCGGTTGAGATATAACACTCCTATGACCCTATGCAATGGGGACATCGCCACTGCTGATGGGAGGGACTATCAGAGTTCAGCTGATTTAGTATCTGTATTCAGGCTCTGAGCAGGGCAGGTGCACATGTGTTGTCTCATTATCTTCACAGTCCCCTTGCATTATTATCCCCATTTGTAAATTAGGAAACTGGGATACAGTGATGTACCCAGAGCCACACAGTCTATGACAGCCAGTCTTTGGCAAACCCATGATGCCAACTCTGGTCTCTGAGTGAAGAGCACCCCTTCTGCCCTGTGTCACTTTTCCTGTTGCTCCAAGGGACAGATAGTCCCTCTGCCTTCTGAACTGCTGGGAGATGTCCAGACATCGAAACAACAGAGAAAAGTTCAATCAATAAGTTCCCCTAAGCAGGCTTTGATAGCCATTGTTAAGTCTGTGCAGCCTACTGTTCCCATCTTCACTGTCCTTCATCTTCCTGGTCATTTTACAAAGAACAGTTGTACAATCTTTCCCTAAGGTCTCTGGGAGAATCCATAAGTGCCAATGAGGAAGAAAACGTGGATCCTTGGCAGGCTGCTCGTGCAAGTCCACAGGTAAGCCAGCAGCACCATCTCACAGCCCAGCTACCGGAGCCAGCTGTCATGAAGAGGTTCTGTTTGTTCGTTCATTCATCATTTGTTCCGTCAACAGATGTTGATGTCACTAACTGATGAAAACTTGACTTAAAGCTGCAGGGAATACAAAAATGAATAAACCTTTCCCTTTTATAAGTATGTAGACAGCCATGTAAACAAATATTTGCAATGCTATGAAAAGGGCTTTTTCTTCTGGCTGCTTGGCAAATTCTTCTGAACTTAACTTGAACTTCACCTCCCTGTCCTCTTCCCCCTGTTCTGAAGCACCCTAGGCGGGGAAAGGATGCTGTTGTAAAGTGCCTGGGTTTCCATGTTCCCTTTCTCTGGATGAAGCCATGCAGCAGGCTCACGTTCTGTTGTTCTGTCCCGAGGCCTCAAAGTAGGTGCTCAGTGTTGGGTAGGCTGTGTGTCAGAGCTCCAGTGACTGAGCAGATGACACCATTGGGACATCCAAGATGCCATGGGTACGAGAACACTGTTCTGCCAGGGACAGGGGAGACAACTGTTTGACAGGCCCCCTGGAGGAGCTCCACCTTTGATCACAGAATCATGCTGACAGCGTCTGCACTCCAGGTTCTCTTCATATTTTTCTTATAAACAGAGGAGGTACTCTTCAGCACACCACTTTAACACATCAGCTCTTGCATGTTTTTGAGTCTATACTTTCAGTTTCTTTACTTACAGACTTAATCTTTCATCATTGCTTCCATAAGAAATTCTTGTTTGCACCATCCTGGAATTTTCACTTGTATCTTTTATGTTGCTATATAGCTTTCAACGATTTACATTTTTAAAAAGTATCTACAGAATATAGTGGATTTTCTAATATTTATTCCCTTGTTATTGGGCATTTACCAAACTTCTGCTGTTATAAATATTTGCTACTATTGGTAACACTTTAATGAGCATCTTGATGCCTTCATCCTCATTTGAAACTATTGGACCAGGGAGAGTGGACATTCGCAAAGGTCTTGGTAAGCTGTGGTTTAAGCTTTCCCCAGGTGTGTGCCAGTGTGCTCTGTTCAGGACCTCTCTCTCCCATTACCTGCCAGTCAAATTCCTTTCCTGGTGGTGGTGTAGGCATGGGTCCTGAGCCCCCTGGGCCTCAGCGTTGCACTGGGGGGTTTTCAGTAAAGGTGCCTACTTTTGAGAATAAATTTACTTCCCAATTCTGTAGGAAAAACTCCAGCCCTCAAAGAACCGCTGGCTGAAGTATCTGGAAAGGGACTCCAAAGAACTGGGGCTGAAAGAAGGAGGAGTGTGTTTCAACAGACAGCCTTCATCCGAGAGAGAAGAGCCAGACCCTCTGTCCAGCACAGGCCTGCCTCGGAAAAGGTGCAAGCCCATCACCATGTAGCCTCATCCACCCCACCTAACTGTCCTGTGGTTTGGGGCAGACAGGCAGCTGCCATGGCTGGCAGGGAGCCTGAGGGTCGTGAGCCAGCAGACACCGTCAGCACAGGCCCCTGGCCAGGCACCGGGCTCAGGGGGGGCTGAGCAAGACGCCAGCAGAGGCGCCTCTTAGGCTTTCACTTGGTTCAGAGCGTCTCGACTGCGCTGACCTCAGGGAGGGACTCGGGGGCAAGGTCGACAGGGCGAGGTGTGGCCAGGGAAGCCAGTGGGCCTGCGAGGTTTTAGCCGAGAGCAGGAAGGGCCTGACTGTCACGGGTCTCCTCTCTCAGCTTAACCTGCATTTCAGTGAGTTTGCTGAGAGACTGCCTCATCTAGGTGTAGGTTGGCTCTTCCAGGGCGGATGCTGTGGGGAGGTAGATTCCAGTTCAGAATAAGAATTTTCTAGCAACTGCAAGTGATAGAGCAGAGAAACGGACTGACTTGGATGTCGTCGGGAAGCCTGTTGTTGGCAGCAGGGCAGAAGCTGAGCGGCCACCTGGGAAGCTGTCAGGGAGGTGTCAGAGCAGGCGGCCACCACGTCAGGAGCAGACCACTGCTGTGCTAGGGCTAGGCTGTGTTTTGTACAAACTTTATTGAAGTATAGATGCTTTATAATGTTGCATTAGTTGCAGTTTACAAAGTGATTCGGTTATATATATAATAGTAATACATATATGTGTGCACATATATATTCTTTTTGAAATTCTTTTCCATTATAGATTATTACAAGGAGGACTGGATCATTTTTTTACATTGTTAAGATTTTTTTTTTTTAATATGGACCATTTTTAAAATCTTTGTTGAATTTTGGACCATTTTTAAAATCTTTGTTGAATTTGTTACATTGCTTCTGTTTTATGTTTTGGTTTTTTGGCCAGGAGGCATGTGTGATCTCCTTGACCAGGGATTGAACTCCGCACCCCTTGCACTGGAATGCAAAATCTTTACCACTGGGCCAGAACTAGTTTTCCCAGGACTAGATTCTTGACAGCACTTTCTCTGCCAGGAAGTGGAACCAGAGCACAGTTGAGCCTCCATCAGTTGGCCCTGATGTCCAGGACTCCAGAAGCTGTGAGGTCACCTTGAAGTCCTTGAAGGTCAGTGTCCCATGGCCATTGAGCACACGCTGGATTTTTTAATTGTTTTTTGGACTATTGAAAGACTTATACCCTCCCCGCCCACCGTCCCCAAAGTCCAACTTCCCATGTGTCTTGTTATGTCTTAAGCCAACTCCTTTCTCTGGCCTGCACTGTTTCCCTGCTGTTACTCATGTTAACTGGGTCCAAAGGGCAACTTCATGCCTTGGAGACAAGTGAGGTTGACCAGTAGGACTTTTCTGCATCAGGACCATTCTCTTCATTCTACATGGAGTGCCAGGTCTTCGCCAGACTGTTCAACTTGGGACCTGCCATGGATTTCTGAGGAACTGTCACCTTCATTTACCCAGGTGGGTTCTTGTGAATTTGGGGCACTCTCTTCACCTAGGACCTGCTCTTGTTATTGGTGCTTCAAACCTAGCAGACCCCACCACACTTTCCAAGCAACAGAATGAGGGTTTTGCTTTATGCTGTCATAGGAACCACAGGCATCCAGACAGAGGAACTCTGCCAGGCATACGTCACTGCTGCACCAACATAGGCCAGGGTTGACCTGACCAGCTTCAGACAGTAGGGGAGAGCACCCATTCAAAGCCAAAAGGCAGAGATCAAACTTGGTGTTGCTACTAACTAGCTGTGTGACACCCAGGTAAGGGTATAGCCCCGAATCTCCAAATTATACAATACTGAGTGTAACAGTTACTGATACACCAGTTCCCGGGCTAAACATTTTAAGCATTGTCTAATGCTCACCACAAGCCTGTTTTGTTTTGAAGGTGACGAATCAAGCCTGGCACAGGTCCAAAGAGGTCACAGCAAGTCAGCCCCAGAGCTGACAGTCTCTGATTGCTACCAGTTACCCAGAGCCTCTTCCATGCTGCCTGGGGGTGGTGCTGCAGGGCCCCTCCTATCATTGCTTTCACATTCCTTTGGAGGTAGTGACACTCAATCTTCAGTGAACCCTTATTCCTGAGGGAGAAGGGGGAAGCCAGGCCCCAGCAACACTGTCACATCCCGTATCTACAGCTTTAAAACCCTTGACATGGCTAGAGACCTTTTCCCCCGTCTGGCGATGAGCACATGGTGTTTCTGGACGGTTTTAGGGCCCTTCCTGATCGCACCCCAGGCATTCCCTCATCTGATTCTAAGGTCCCATGAGATAGATCCACTGATCACATGAGAACATCTTGCTCTTTTGGAAAGCCTGGTCATGGAATTTGGAGTGAGAGAGGGCATTTATTTCCTGTGCTTTGCTTAATCTCAAAATCAAGGCATATCCCTAGCCTGCCAGCCTACAGGATAGTAGACAACACAGAGCAGAAATTGTCAGTGCCCAGAGGTACCGTCCAAGATTAGCGCGGGCCCAGGACCCACTCCTCCCTGTCCCTGAGTCTGGTAGGCACTTGTTCCTCTGAAGGGAGAACGTGCCATCACCTTGTGTTCCCACTGCAGGACCATGCTGGCCTGGCAGGGAAGGGCAGAGGGAGTCGTGAGGACCGGGACACCGTGGAGCTTGTTCCCCAGGGGGAACCACCGTGCCCTGCCCAGTGGGAACAATGTCTTATGCCACCTGGAAACAGCTCACATTTGGACACAGAGCCCCTTACCCCTCTCCAGAGAGGCCTCCGGCCAATCCAGGCAGCACAGGCTGAGCAGGGGACCCCCAGGGCCCAGATTCCCAGGGAAGAAGGCCTCTGCAGGATCCCCGGGGCACTCCAGTCTCCTCAGACCACGCACACTCCCACACCTGGGCCCAAGAGGCTTTGTGGGAGGACCCCTGAGCAGTCCCAGGGTGCGGGCCCCTGGGCAGAGGGCGCGCCCCCGGTCAAAGGGGTGCAGGCACGTCCGTCACTCATGCGTCTACATGACCTCTTTAAAACTGGAGAAGACTTCGATGACGATCTGTAAGCTGAAACTAGTATGTTACTCTTGTAGACATATTTGTTACATGAACCCTTCACTTCACAGTGACCTCTGTCACTGAAAACAGGGTTCCCCAAGTTGCTTTCAAATAGTAGGACTAAGGATGACTTATAGGAACTACAAGAAGCGACAATAAATATGACCATCAAACAGATTACCTCTTGTACCATCTTTGATTAAAGTGCTTATAATTTTAATTAAAATTGTTTACAAATATAACAGAATGGCTACAAAGCGATTTTAACTTTAAAAGCAGCCAATACGTTTGGAAATGGTAACTACAGTGGTTATGAAGTAGGCAGTACTCTGAACATCAGTTCCTCTGTCAGCCCTTCTTTATTCTCAGATGTTAGACACAGTCCTGAGCTGTAATCACTACAGAACAGCCTCTTCCACCCCAACTGAATGCTGGTGATACTTTAGCTAAATTCAGAGTATATCAAATTTCTAGCAGAAAATCAATTACATATCAGTGTACTATAGTCATTAAAAAAGAAAAACCAGAAAGCCATTTGGCAAGATCTATTCTGGACTGCTGGTATAATCCTGCAGGGAGAGTGCGGATAGGAAGCAGTATGGTCTCTACGTCCTCCCCAGCAAGGAGTCTCGCTCTGCCCCAGGAGGGGCTCCCCTCGCTGCAAGGAGCCAGACATCCATGGGAAACTGATAAATGTTTCTCAGAATCAGCACTCACACATTTGGCACTCCCCCCTCATGTCACTTGTTCTACTGCCCTAAATGGCTTTGTGCATCCCCACCCCCCCCGATTCTGAAAAAAGAATGATGAGAAATTGGCACTTAGAGGCACTGGGGTTCTACACTAACTCAACACAACTATGAGACAAGAAAGGGGACACAGAATGGGTGAGCAGACATCGTCACAAAGGTGGTGGGTGTTTTGAATATTGGATGGTGTCCAGGGCAGCCCCGATGTCGTAATTCTTGGTCTGCAGAAGCCTGGTGAGCCAGCCGCCTTCATCAGAGAACCCCATGGATAGCATCTGGGAGAGGGACTCAATCAGCCGGGGGTCAGCTTCTGCCAGAGAGAGTAATGACAGCCATGAGAAGGAAGCACTGCGCCCCAAATGTGACCTGTACCTGGCCCTTTTACAAGGCCTTAACCCTCACAGGCACCCTTCAAGGCAGGGACTGTCAAACTTTTTCTGGAAAAAATCAAGAGTAAATACTTTAAGCTGCTTTGCAGGCTATTCACTCTCTGTCACAAATATTCAACTCAGCTGTTGAAGTTATAAAAGTAGCCAAACAATATGTAAACAAATGAGCATAGCTATGTTCCAAAAAAATTTCAGCCATGAGAAGGAGGCACTGCGCCCCAAATGTGACCTGTACCTGGCCCTTTTACAAGGCCCTAACCCTCACAGGCACCCTTCAAGGCAGGGACTGTCAAACTTTTTCTGGAAAAAATCAAGAGTAAATATTTTAAGCTGCTTTGCAGGCTATTCGCTCTCTGTCACAAATATTCAACTCAGCTGTTGAAAAGTAGCCAAACAATATGTAAACAAATGAGCATAGCTATGTTCCAAAAAAATTTATACTTATGAACACAAACTTAAATTTCATCTCATTTTCTCCTCTTGACTTTTTTCCAACCATCATAAAAATGAAAAAATCATTATTGGCCCATAGGCCATAGTTTGCCACTCCCTGCTTCAAGGCAGAGAAGGTAAGTACTGGCAGCCCAAGGGCTCAATCTGGCACTTAGATGGGTTTCCACCTGAATGATGTTTTAAACGTCTTTGCCATGTGACAGTGATGAACCAGAGCAGGGTGTGAGTGGCCTCTTTTATTCAGTGTGTGTTCTCCAGGCTGCCACACTGTCCACCCAGCCCTATTGCCTTCCACACCACCCACTTTACTAGATGGCTTCCTGCCTGGCTCCTACTGGAACCGTGACTGTGACCCCCCTGCTCTAAGATTAGCACCTTCCATGAGGAAACAGTGGCGATGGACTCCCGAGTCCACTTCTAGCAGTGCGTGGCAGTGCCCAAAGCCAGTGCTACTGCCATATCACCTCTGCCTTCATAATTCTGGGTCTGTGTGTTAAGTTTTAGAAATTACTAAAACTAGCTGAGCTTACTAAGGCTCAGTATAGACAAAGAGGACAAAACCAACTCCTAGATTTCTCTTACATCAGTAGACAAGCCCTGCAGTAGAGAATGTAATGCCTGTCTGTGTTGCTAGAAGCAAGTGATAGGATGCTCTGAATAGAAAAGGGAGTAACATAAAACTACTTGAAATCCCTTGCCTGGTGGCAGATGTGGGTACAATGCAGCTTCCTTCAGTCCAGTGGGTCCTTCCTGGGAAGGATCCAGAGAGCTTGGCCCTTCAGATTCAGGCATCTGTAAAGACTGGAGTTCACCTGTAGACGGGTCCACCTCTTTTGAAGACAGATGAGTCCAGTCATCATCTCCTCCTGAACAGTTATCAGACTCCATCTGTTCCTAAAACAAACCCCCCAGTGAGCACAAGAAGGAGAACAACATGCCACTTGACCACAGCCTCAACATCTGCGAGAGACAGGGCCTGCAGGACTAGCAAGAGTCCTCCTGCCTTACAGAATTCTAGTGGAGGGCTCACAGGACAACTTAAATACCACCAACAACTCTGCAACGGAAATGGGTTCTGCTGGCTGTGTGAGTGCCAGGGAGGGGCTGTGACTCAGGTGCTGGGAGAAGCTCTGGATATGTTAGGGGGGGTGCTTGCCTCAGGCTGACCCCCTGACTCCAGGGCGATCTTATTCATTTGCTCCGTCAGAGACTGTGTTGTGCCTGCCACATCCCCGTCTGGCTTGCTGGGGTCAGAGCAGCAGCTGCTTGGCTGAGAGCTACACTTCTCCTCTGTGCTGGAACTGCCTGCAGAGGCGGGGGTCAGGCGGCTTCTCTTGCCTCCATGTTCCACATCAATATCGACTTCAATGCCTAGAAGCCGGGGGGAAAACAACAACTTGATTAATAGTAACATCCCAGGTCAGCTTCAGAGCCACGAAGTCCATAAGCAGACTCTGTTTTCCCCTCACTGTGCAGGACGGCAGCTGCATAGCAGGCACGGCCAGGCCCTCAGAACAGGCTGAGAGCTTGTGCCACAGAGCCAGCCAGAGCCCCTGCACCACAGCGCGGAGGACGCTCTTGTCCTCACTGGAGGCATCCCACTTGCGTGGGGGGGGCCTAGTGATGTGAAAAACACACACGCTGAACATGCTAACCCTGCTCAGGCAGGCAGACAGCCCACGCAAGCTTTGTGTGAGACCCATGAGACGGCGTGTCCACCTGCAATCTCTCACACGCCGGGGCACATGCTCACTGAAGGGAAGGGAGGGCACACTCCCTGGGTTTATGTTATTAATTCAGTTTACTTTCTCAAAGGACATGTGCCATGTCTTAGAGTGAAGCAATCTCAAAAGAATGAGGCCTTCCTCGGTGGTTCAGTAGTTAAGAATCCTCCTGCCAATGCATGGGCCCTGGTCCAGGAAAACCCCACACGCCATGGAACAACTAAGCCTGTGTGCCACAACTACTGAGCCTGTGCTCTGGAGCCTGTGGGCTGCAAGTACTGAGCCCGAGTGTCTGAACTACTGAAGTCTGCACACTCTAGGGCCTGTGCTCCACGAGAAAGGCCACTGCACCAGAACTAGACAGTAGCCCCCACTTGCCCCAACTCAAGAAAGCCTGCATGCAGCAAGGAAGACCCAGTGCAGTCACATATAAGACTATAGAATGGATAAACATCAAGGCCCTACTGTATAACATAGGGAACCATATTCAATATCCTATGATAAACCATAATGGAAAATACACATTAAGTATTACTGAATCACTTTGCTATACAGCATAATTAACATTATAAATCAACTATACTTCAATAAAATTAAAAAAGCAACATAGATTCCCTGCCCCCACCACACAGCCTGGCCCACCCTCCAGAGAGAACTTTTAACTGACAATGTGCTTTTTCTGTCTTTCCTGACTACTTATGTTTACCGTTTATTTCTTAGTCTAGATGATCAACACTTTATCTCCCCTTCCCCTATCCTTTCAAAAACTCACGTTTTTGTAAAAACAACACTCAGTGTTTATGTTAGTGCCACTATATATATAGTGTTCTTTGCTGGCTAAGGAGTGGGATTATTTCCACAGTTTCCTGTATTTGTAGCAGTAATGATGCTTTCTTTTTCACTTGGTAGCTTTCCCCGTATTCTCTCATAGCTTCTCTATAGTGTATCCAATACCCTGGTTTTCCCCTGTAGACCATCCCAGGCAGGCATGGCGCTTCCCGCTCCAGCCGGGCCAGGCAGCTCTCTGGACCAGAAGCACAGCACCTGTGCCTTTCCTTCCATCCTGACAACTATGTTGTCACGCTCGTATCTGTTGGGCGCCACTTTCAAGTACCTCTTTCTGCATTCTGGGCTTGTTTCTTTATTTTGGCCAGAGAGACGCTTCAAGCCCAAGTAAGATGATTAGGACCTTGTCAGTTTCTTTCCTGACAACTTTGTTTTGCTTCCACACTTGATCATTTTGTTGAGTACAGAATTAGAGGCTGAAGACCTGTTTTGGTGAGCCTTTTGAAGTCAGTCTTCCAGCTCTTAATGTGCTCCTTAAGTCTGCAAGCTTTTACAGCAGCCTTGAGAGTTTCAGGAGTCTCTCCTTGTCCCAAGGGTTCTGACAGGACACTTTTAAGCTTTGGTGTAGGGTCTTTTTCAGTCCTTGTCCAAGGCATCTGGGGTCCTTTTTAATCCAGAGGTTAATGTCCTAGTGCCAAGAGACTGTCTTGTATTTGTTCATTTCCTCCCTTCAGTTTACTCTGTTCTCTTTCTGGAATTCTTTCATCTTATATTGGGCCTCCAGGATTAATCCTCAAATTATCCTATCTTGGCTACTTTCCTCCATCCATTTTCCATCTTCCAAAGTTTGATGAGATTGTTTTATCTTGTCCTCCATTATTTTTTCCCCTTTTTCTTTATCCATGTTTCTTTACTTATTTTGTTTAACCCCTTCACTATTATTTTAGTAGAGCATGACGAGCAGGCAGAGAAGATAAAAGCAGGCTCAGTAACAGGTACCCCCATCTGCAATATTTACATTGTTTTTCTTCTTCCATTTCCCCTGCAGTTTTCATGATGAAACATTCAAATAATCAGAAAAGATAGAAGAACAGTACAATGAATACCCATATACTTTCTAAAATGGGTGAATGATGTGACTCTTCTGTA